GGCGGGAGGACGCGCGGCCGCCCGCGCGGGCCGGGGCTCCCCGGGGAGCCGCGCCGCGGGCACCGACCGGCCCCCCCCCCCACCCCGCCCCCCCCCCCCACCCGGCCAAGGGGCCCCCCCCCCTAGGGATCGCCGGAGGGGGCCGGCCCCGGGCCCGGCGGCCACCCTTCCCCGCCGTCCCGCTCTCCCTTACCTCGAAGCGGGCCCTGGCAGCGGCCGAGTCTCCCTCAGGCTCCGGGGGCGGCGGGCCCCTCTCGGGCGGGCGGCGGGGGCGGGCTGTCCCCGGTGCGGTGAGGGGGGAGGTCCCCGCGCCCCTCCTCCCGGAGGGGGGGGGCGGGCGGGGGCGGCGCCGGTGCCCCGGCGGGGCGGGGGGCTCGGGGGGGGGGGGTAAGATGGAGTAACCGTCTGTCGGCCGCCGCGGCGGAGCGCTGCCCGCTTCTCTGTTCCCCGGGAAATCCCGCCCCTCCTCGCGCAGGGGGGGAGCCCCGAGCGCCCGTTGGGCGAGACGAGCGCCCGTCACCCTCTCGGCCAATGGGCGCGCCGGCCCCGCCCACCAAGACCTCCCCTATTGGCCGCGGCCCCCAGGAAGGGGATGTGGAGAGGAAGGGAGGGCGGAGGGGGGGGGGGAACGACCGCCGAAGAAAAATGTCCGTATAAGCAGCGCGCCCCGCCCCCGTCCCGCCCCCTCCCCCGTCCGATTGGCTGCGGGTCGAAAGCGCCGGCTAATAGGCGAGCGGGGCAGCTCCGCCGTCACAGCGGGGAGCCCGCCCACGCGGCGGGATTGGCCCCGCCTCCCACGAGCAAGGCCACGCCCCCCTCTCTGGGGAGCCCTTTTGTGGAATGTTTACATCGCGGACGCGGCCCGCGCGAGCGGCGCCCCCTCTCCTCCCTCCGGCCCCGCCGCCCGAGCCGCTGAGCGGCGGGAGAGGGAAGCTGGCGACGGGGCCCGGGCGGGGAGGGGGAGGGCGGCGCAGCGCCCGCCTTTTGTCCCCGACCCCTTCACTTCCGGGATGGCGGCGCCCCACGTGGGGCGGGTCGGTTACACGTGCGGGGGGGACACGGCGCACACACACACTCACACACACACATACACACACACACGCACGCACGCACGCACTGGGGGGGGGGCGTGGGCGGCGCGCGCGCGGCGCCGCGGGGGGCGTTACCCTCCGCCTTCGCAGCCAATGGGGTGGCGGGGAGGGGGCGTGGCCAGCGCGGCAGCCGCTCTCTCCCCCCCCGCACACACACACTCAGTGACTCGCTCCCCCCCCCCGCCATACGTCGCGCGCTTCCCGCCGGCGGGATCCGGAGCGCGCGCGCGCACTTCCCGTCCCTCGTCCCTCGGCTTCCCGGCCCCCCCGCCCCGTGAGAAGCGATTCCCGTGAAGCGGGGGGGGGGAGGAAACTGGGAAAGTGTGTGTGGGGATAGCAGCTGTTACATACCCTCAACGCGCAGGCGAGCAGCCCTGAATGGAGGGGGAACTCCCCCCGGAGCGGATTGGCCCCGCCGTGCCGATCGTCACGGCCGCACCGCCCACGGCGGGGGCGGGGGGGGCGGTGTGAGGGAGAGGCCTCGCGGCGGAGGGCGGGAGGGAGCGGATCACCGCGGGGGTGGCGAGCCTTCCCCTCCGCTAAGACGCGAGGTGGAGGTTAATGCGTTTAATTATCGTGTTTTTCTCCTTTTAGAAAGTTGTGGAGGGAGTTGCCGGGTTCACCACACCGAGGCTGGAGGATCCAGGCCTCACCGCCCATTAGTGCTCATCTGGGCATCCAGAGCGTGCTCAGGACGGGTGAAATACGAACACACACGCTCCACGCTTCTGCTAAAATACGTATTTCAAGCATCAAACGAGGTTTAAATCTCTCGGTTTTTTTCTTTCCAGCTCTTTTTCCCTTTCTCAGCCTGGTCAGGGAGCAGGCAGCCAGGTGCTGCCAGGACAAGCAGGCACAGCAGAGGAGGGTCTCTCCTGTGTGTCCGGGAGCTGCAGCTCGGTTCAGCTGCTGGAAGGGCTCTGGTCAGCGGGGTTTGAGCCTTCGCGGGATGTTGTGCCGCTGGAGATCGAGCCTGAGCCTTGGAAACCAGAGGCAAAGAAGGAGAAGGGCTGGGAAATTAAGTGCTCCGGAGTTAGAAGCTTCCCAAACTCCCAGGACTCAAAATTACAAGCACTTAAGTAATCATAATTAGTGAGGCGGTGTGCACGCAGCCAAGAAAGCCAAATGAAACAGGTGGGCACAGGGATAGCAGCGACGCTTTGGGATTTCCCTGCAATGGCTTTAAATCCCCATTTCCACACTTAAGCAGCACTTCGGATTTCACATTCTTGGAGTTGTCCATGCTGCCGAGTTTTGCCCCGGTGGCTGATCCCCATCCCTGGGGCACGCCGGGAAGGGGAGATGCTGCGGGCATCAGTCTGCCTGTGCTCAGCAGCCCATTTTTCCCACTGCTCTTCAAACAACACAAAGCTTTTATTTCCAGTAATTTATGGCTGTCTGCATGAAGTGACCATTTCCAGAGAAATCCACATTTCTCGGCTGAGCAGGATCTGCTGGCACAGGGAGAAGGAATGGATGAAACAAAACCTCGTGTTGTGCAAGAGGACTGAAAATGCTTGTTTTGACAAGAAACACAGCCCTGGGAATAGTCAGGAACAGGGGGTGAGTCTGTGAGTTGTTCTTCCATGGAAAAGGCTTACAACCCTTTCCTCTGCCTCTGGCACAGATGGGATCTCCATCTCTCTTTGAAGGGAGGTAGCTGCTGAGGTCTATGGCAGTGGCATATCCAAGCCATTCCCATTTAGAACTGGCGGCAGTGATTTCCACCCGTCTCCTCTGTCTAGTAATCCTATCAGACATCCAGGTCACAGGTCTCCTTGGAAAAGTTTTGGTTCTGTGTGCCTACTGTGGAATTGAGCTAAAAGGCACAACCACCTTTACCGTGTGCACAGTGCGGGCTTGGTTCGGATTTCGCAGCCTGTGGGGGACTGGGCACATTTGCGGGGCCACACTTGGCACGACCTGCAGCTTTCAGATCTGTAGCCGACACTTTGCCAAAAGCCCCGCTGAGCCACAGAGAGCTGCTGCTGACAGCACGTGTCTGACAAGCAGCTGCAAATACCCCCTTTCTCCATGTGTGTCAAGAAGAAAACCCAGCTGGGTGAAGAAGTTTCGGCAGCAAGGAGGGAGGGCCCTGTGCTCCTTCCTTCAGAGGAGGAGCCAACCTGCAATGGGTGCCTGAAGGAAACGTGAGGGCAGCCCGAGCAGGAGGAGTCGCTCTGCAGGTCACACTGCCTGGGCTGATGCTGCTCTGGGAACACAGCTGGGTGGAAAATGATACCTGGAAGGATGGGACACTGCACCTAAAACAGAACTGCTCACAGGCAGGATGTGCACAGCTCTAGGGATGCTTAGAACACCCACCTCTCATGCACCCCTGGGCACCGGGACATTCAGGGATTCCAGATGGATTCCCTGCTGCCTGTGGTTCTTTTCCAGCCTTCCAGCCCTTGCGTCTGGCCCCAGTTTGGCACAGCCAAGCCAGTCCATGCCCAGAGCACAGGGAAAGCCTCTTTCTCTGCCAGTCCCAGACAGACTCCAGCTGAGCAAACACAGGTGCTGCTCTTCACACTTGCCAGCTGCCCTGTTCTGGGGCACAAGCTTTCTCACTGACTCTAGGGCTTCATTTGCACTAGCTGCCTTTTTGCTTCCCTCATCCCAAAGCCTCAGGCTGCAGCTGCTGCTCTAGCATCTGAAGGTGCTAGATCTGGCTGGCAGCCTGGGAATTCCCCCTAATTTTTGTGCCCTACATGCCTGCTCAGAGCAGGTCCAGCAGCAGAGAGGTGATGCCCTCACCCCCAAATTCTGCAGCGAAAGGCAGCAGCGGTGGCCAGACAGGAGATTGATGCTCTGGTGCTTGGCAAGGCCCTGGGAAAAGAGGCAGGAGCTCGGAGCAAGGTGGCTTGTCTCCCCCTGCCAGCTACCAGGCACAGCCCACTGTGCTGCTTTCCCTCCTGCCACTATCCTGCCCACCCAGGAAAGCTGCCTGCAGCCTGGTTATCTCTGTCTCAGCCTCACCCAGGCCAGGAGCAGCCCCAAACAAAGCTTCACGCCCCTCAAAGTCAGTGCGTCCCCAGGGATGTGGCCAGCTTGTTTTTGGGGATCACAGCCTCTGCAAAGCCCTAAACTTCCTCCTTCTCCTTTCCTGCCCAATGCCCCCATTACAGCAAAGAGGACTGGTCACTGGTAGTATATTTATATATCAATACAAATAAAAACAAAACAACCCCCAAAAAAGGAACAACAACAAAAAGGTTTCTCTGAACAAGAGCAAAATAGGAACATTTACAAATACTTCTGGTTCTGGCTTGGATCAAGTTAATGTTAAATAAAAAAAACAAAAACAAAAACAACCAAAAAACCCCCCAAAAGAACTACAAAACAAAAATTACCACCCCCCCCCAAGATTATAAAAAAATAAGAATATACACATTCAAAGATCTTATTACAGTATAAAGTTGGGGAGGCCCAGGTGGTGGTGGGGGCCGGGGCTAAGGCTCATTGCCTCTCCAGGGTTTGGGGTTTATTCTTGCTCAGCACTTTCCCGGCCTGTGACTCAATGCAGGGCTGGGCCTGCAGGTTCCCAGTGGCGGCCTGGGAAAGCCAGGCAACCTGGTGAGCCAGTTGGTCCCTGTGTCCCCATCACCTCGTACCGAGTGACTCCTGTGGCGGTGCCCCAAGGGGCAGGGAATGCCTGTGAGCTTCACACCCCTCCAACAACCCAAATCCTCCAGATCCTCCTGGGAGCAGAGCACTGCTGTCTCCACGGGGAATATGAGACAAGGAAATGGGGGGGACACCACCAAGCATCCTTGTGCCTCCAGTGGGACAGGCATGAGAGCGGGTACCATGTCCCAGTGCTGCCCATGAGGGGAAAAAAGGGCAAGGGGGAAGATAACACAGAGCCAGGACCAAACTCACCGCTCCAGGGATCACAGCAGTGAGGTGGCAGGACAGCGAGAATTCTCGGGAGCTGCTAAAGGGGAGCTTGTATATATGTATCTATATAATAGCCGGGGGAGCAGAGCAGGGGTATATTATATACACACATACATACAGACACACAGAGGGAGTGGCAGGTGAGACCAAAGCACACACCTCTCCCCCAGCCCCAGGAGTGGGAATACATTTTCTAGGACTTTGCAAAGCCCCTCTCTAGGTACAGCTTAGGTGGTCCCAACAACAACAAAATAATAAAATAAAAAAAAACAAACCAATTTGAAGAGAAGACAAACCACCTCCACACGCAACCAAACCCAACCAAAACACAACGGGGAGGAGCAAGAGCCCCTTCCCGTGCCGGCGAGTGGCAGCTACTGTTTGGGTTGAATAAGGCACAGTTCCATAGCAGTGCTAACAGCTGAGGTGCTCTGGCACCGCCGCCCCAACAGCTCAGCTGAGTCCTGGCAGGCACCGAGGCAGCTCAGGCAGCCCCCGGAGGATGGGAAGGGGGTGTCTGCAGGGAGGTGGGGGATCTCAGTGCCCTGGCGAACTCTTCTCCTGGGCAGCCCGGTTGTGGTTGGCGAGCAGCAGGCCCTCACGCTGGGCGTGCTCGAGGATGGCAGTGTAGCAGAAGTAATACTGCTCGGGGGTCTGGATGCTGAAGGCGCGCTGGGTCCGCATGCGTAGCACCGTCTGGTAGATGTTCAGAGTACCCACGTCCTGCAGCTGCGACAGGCAGATGTCCAGTGCACAAAAGGTACCTGGGGACAACAATGGGACAGCATCAGCCACCAAATCGCACCGTCACTGCCCCTTGCGAGGACTGGAGAGGTGGTTCTCAGCCCCCCACCCTGATCTCGCACAGGCACCTGGAGAATTCTCCCAGGTCTGATGGCTGTGGTAAATCGTGAGGACATGCATCCCAGTTCAACCAGCTTGCAAACACACCGTGGATCCCTGGGATGGAAGTGTCCCAGGGAAGCTGGACTTGTCATTTCACCACCCCCAAGACCTCCACTGCACCCGTTACCTGTCCTGCCGATGCCGGCGCTGCAGTGGACCACGACTGGTGGTCCCCTAGGGTGACCCTTGAAGCGAGGTCCCAGGGTGCTGACAGCCACCCTCTGCTGCTGCTTCACAGCCCCCAAAAAGTCAATGAGCGTGGCAGCAGAGGAAGGAACGCCATAATCTGGCCAGCTCAGGTACTGGAAGTGGGACACCAGCCGCCGCTCCCTGGTCTGGGGAAAGCAGGGGAATTAGACCATCTCCCCTCCTCAGACCCACCGTGCCCCCGTGCTGTCCCCCACCAGGCAGCTGTGGCCACGCACCTCCGAGCTGTGGATCTCCAGAATGGTTTTCTTGTAATGGCTGAGGTTCTCCACGCCCAGGTTGGTGATGGTCAGGGCCCCGAAGCACACCTGGAAATCCTTCTCCAGGGGCCAGTACTGGCCACACTTCCTCCTGCCTCCCTCCTCTAGCCTGAGAGCAGGACAAGGACAAGCTGGTCATGTCCTTCTTGCCCTGCTTGGGACATGTCCCATGCCACTCAGCCTTGGTCCTTCAGGAATCCCGCAGGGACCAAACTGTCTGTACTTGATACGATGCCCCCATGCTGTGGGGCTCTGGTTGGCACCACGGCTGCAGCATCACTGCACGGAGCCCAGCACTGCTCATCCTGCACCAATAATGCTCATTTTGCACAGAAAAAGAGGTCTGTGTCCCTCCATGAGCACTCACCGGGTTGTCATCACTATCACCAGGACGTTCTGCTCCCACACCATGCGCCAGAAGTCACCGTAGGTGTTTTCCAGAGGCCCTGCAGGGACAACCCACACTTCAGCCCAAAACCTAATGGATTTGGGCAAACCCCTTTGCCCAGCTGCTCCACCAGCCCCCCATCATCCCCACAGGGAACCACAGTCCCTGCCTGTTGGGACTGACCCAGGTTTGGCTCCACCTGCCCTAGTGGAGCTGCCACTGATTGCCCCCCCAGCACTGAATCCCTAGGGCTCAGCACTGATCCCTTGTCTCTGCTCATCCCTGGGCAGATGGGGCAAATCCAGGGCTGGGATAGGGGCAGAAGGGAGGGGGTTGCTATCGTGGATGGAGGAGGATGGATCCACTCGCTCTCTCCCAGGAGAAGCTCCACTCCCTCCTAGCTGGAGGATGGGAAGGAAATAAATATACCCAGGGAGGAGTAAATATACCCAGAGAGAAGGGGGACCTGCTGGGCAGTGTCCTTCTCCTGGGATGTCCCCCACCACGGCTGGTGGCTGCCACTGGGCAGGAAGGTGAAGCCCACAGCTGTATCAGGAGCAGAATAACCTCTCAGAGGCTCGGGCCATACCCTGAGTGCCAATGTAAGCGTTCCTCTGCTTGTAGCCATCCATGAAGCTTGCATTGATGTAGTCAGTCAGCTGCAGGGAGAAAAGCATGGATGAGATAAGGCTTCCAGAGCCCTGTGTCCAGGACGGCTGTGTCAGCTTCCTGCAGGACTGTGAGTTTCCATCCCAGGCTGCCTCACCTCCGGGCGACTGTATGGCTTCGCCAGCTTGACACGGGTTTGGTCCAGGCAGGGCACATCCCCATACCGGTTCTTCTCCTGGTTGTAGGGTGCCCTGGGAGGGAGGGGAGAGGGAAGCAGGGATGTTTTCCAGGCAGGGAAGGCAAAGGCAGCATGCCCTCCCTCTGCACAAACCTCCGGAGCCTGTAGCCTAGGCTCTGCTGCCATCACCTGGTCAAAGCCTCAGGAGGTGGAATCCCGGCCAGGTCCTGGTCCCTGCTGTTCCCTGCGGCTCCCTCCTACCCCAGAGGGCTGCAGGACCTACAAAGGGGGCTCACACCATCCCTAGGCCGGGCTTCTCTGTTGCTAACCAAACGTACCACACCCTAAAGATGCCGATGGACCACCATCCAGTAGCAGAACTGTCGGGAGGGGGGGCACTCAGCTTTTTGGGGTAAGAGGGGCTCCTGACATCTTTCCCCCAACTCACAAAGAGCAGACAAAGGTGCCGGCTGGGCTCCTGCGCCGAATATCTTCATACTCTTCGTAGATGCCCTGTTTCTGCTTGTGACTGACATGATCCAGTAGCTCCTGGAGGGTCATGGACTTGGGCCCAGGGACGTGGACGGAGCCGTTATCTTTGGGGGCCGCCAGCGGCACCAGGATGAGCTCGTCCAGGGGGTCGGGGTGCCCATTCTGCTGGGGCAGGAACCGGCAGTTCCAGCTCAGAGGGTCCAGTTTGAGGGACCCCCCGAGGTACTCGGGGAGGCATTCCCGTGGCAGGTGTTCCTTCAGCTCCGACATCTTCACCATCTGCACCTGTGTGAGGAAGAGGAAAGGCAGGGGTGACTCCAAGAAAGTTGGAGAAGATTCACTGGGGTTTGGGTCTGGTGCTCAGTGGCTTCCAGCCGACGGGGCTGAGCGGCACGAGCTGCTTCCACCATCCTGTCCCAAAGGGTCCTGTGCCAGGAGGGTCTTCACTCACCCGCTCCCGCAGCTTCTCCTTCAGCAGCAGGCTGATGATGGAGTAGGGCACGCGGAACCACATGGGCGCTCCCACGATGAAAACTTTCTTGAGCCGAGCTGGGAAGGCACCCTGCAGGCAGGAGGAGGGGGTCAGATCCACTCTGCTGGCAGGGGACACGTCCCAGCAGAGGTGGCAATCACCAAAGGGACCCCGTGGTGGCAGCGCCACATCCAAAGCGTTCCTCGCACGCTCACGGTTGTGCTTGTTTCCATGCGCCAATAAGGAAACAAATGACTTCCTTGGAATTAGGCAGGCAGAGGGCTTGTCTCCGCAGGGGAGAGGTGAAGACCAGGAACTGGGATTGTGCAGAGAACACACCCTGGCCAGCACTTACTGTTACTGTTTTTTTCCAGAGAAGGCACCAAATGCCAGCATGATTAAAAAATAATTTGCATCTGTTTTCCCAAAAGCGCTGCCAGCAGCTGTGAGAGGAATCTGGCCCGGGGACAGCTGATCTCTTCTGCCCGCGGGACACACAGCCTCAGCTGGGTCCAGCCTGGCAGGCTCCCAGTGCCTTCCTGAGGTCCTGCGGGGCTGGAGCCTGTGCTCCTCAGCCAAGACGTGGTCAGCACGGTCTGGGGTGAAAACTGATGCCAAAACCACAGGTCTTTGGGTTCTCAGTGAGTGCGAGTGGCCCATGCACTGTCCCTGGACACGGGGTCACCCCGGACATCACCTTAAGCAGGTTGAGGATCTTCTTGCTGAGGTCCAGCTCAAAGTTGGTGTACTGTGACCCTGCCATGTCGTAGATGAACACCAGCCCATTCCTTTGCGTCTCAAAGCTGAGAGAGAGGAAAGAGCAACATCAACCCCACAACATGACTCCTGCAGCAGCACCTCTGCCCCACACTGACCCCTAAAAATCCCTTTCTGTGCTTCCGGAAGGACTCACAGACCCAAACCTCACGTCTGCACTTCCAGCTGCTCCACCACACCTCTTCCTGCAACCTTCATTTAAGCCTGGCTCATACCTTAAGCCTGTCTTAGTGTTATCACCCATGATGGGTAAGGTCAAAAACAGAAAGAGCCCAGCAGGGGGCTGGGGAGACGGGATGGGGGGGGAATGTCCCGACTTTATATTTTTGGCAGGACTCACATTACGCCTGGCTGACAGCAGGGCTGCCTCCTCCCCAGCCAAAGCCTGCAGGAATCTGGGGCTTTCCTAAACTGAACCCAGGGCATAGACAGGGTGAGGCTGCAAAAGAGCCTTGTTCAGGGCACAGGGGATTTTGTTCCCCGGCTGAACGCCTCCATGGGGAAGAGCAGCTGGAGTTCCAACCAGGGAATTTGAAGCCATGGGGAGCAGTGACCACCCTGGGAGGGAAGGGGCTCCCCAGGGACCCACCAGTGTGAGACAGGGTACCTCAGCAGAGGCAGGCTCACCTCTCCACGGCTTGGTCTAGCAGGTAGAAGAGCGCCTGGAGCACCACGTGCTGCACACTCTTGCTGGGGTGGTGCAGCTTGGCTGTGAACAGGGCGATAGAGGCTCCTGAGGGGTCCCGCACGCTCTGCCGAGGAAACAGGCTTATGCAGCACCCACACGGAGAGGAGCAAGGATGAGCCACCCAGCTGGGATAACTTGGGGGGGTACACCCCACCTACCAGAATGGTGAACTTCCCGCTGAGCAGCTCTGAGCGTAGCGGCTCCTCGTGTGGCTTCAGCTTCACAATTCCCTCCTTCAGCCGTGTCTCCTGCGGGCAGGGAGCCTGTATGACAAGGGGCACAGGCACCCCAGCTGCCCGCCCACCACCACGGCCCCATGGGGCACCCAGCCCTCCGAGGGAACCTCTGCTCCACGAGCCCATTTTCCAGCATGCACCCCAGCACGGGGAGGAGCAGCTGGGAAGGACATATATGGATCTAAATCCTTAATATACGGGGAGATGCCCTATGGGCAGAATACACGGGTCAGGAGGGCACCTTGTGAGCTGCTCTCAGCAGAGGGGAGGGGATTGGGATCAGTGAGATCTCCATGGTGACCCGCCTCGGCTGAAAAAGGATTTTCCAGCTGGATAAAACTTATATGGGAGTGGGAAAAAGAAAAAAAAGCGGGGGGAAGGGTAGTCCTCCAGAGCAGGGATCTCCCTCAGAGCAGGAATCCCTTGCCCAGGGGGGTCCTGGCCCCGCTCACTTACCCGGTAGGAGTGGAAGAGCTCGATGGCCCGCAGGACGTCGAACTTGCGGGCCATGAGGAACTTGACAGCCACATTCCAGGAGAGCGGGGACACATTATACTGGCCTGTCCACTTGTTGATCTCCTCCAGGAACTGCTTGGTTGCCTGTGGAAGAGACCAGGGGCATGCAGTGAGACAGGGCGGGAGGAAGAGGAGAGCCCGAGGAGCGTCCCTGCTCATGGTGGGAGCTACAGTGCTCAGCAAACCCAGCAGCTCCTCGGGGTGAAGAGGAGAGCTCCACAACAAAAGGGGTAAGGGCAGTGGGGATGGAGATGGGGGAAAAACCAGTGTGGGAAAGGGAGACAGTGATAGGAAAAATGGCCTTGGGGCTGGAGGACACTCATGGAAGGGAAAGGGGGAGAAAGAGGAGCATTTTACAGGCATCAAACTCCTGTCCAGACAGAGCAAAACCAGCACAGCAGGTACCCATCCGCTGGCAGCAGCTGGCAGCTCTTGGGGCTGCAGCTCCTCCATGGATCAGTGAACCTGGCTGTGGGAGCACAGGTAAAGAGCATGGAGGGCTGACACTTCGACCTGTTACAGGACATGGACCAGCTTGCCCAATAACACCAGTTTCACATGGCCATGGAAGACCAGGAGGGTCCCAGGATGCAGCTTTGCTTTCTGCTGCATATTTATCCCTTGTCCCACACAGGAGTCCCAGGGGAGATGGGGCAGCACAGCCCAGCCTTCCACCACATCCTGCTCAAAGGATACAGGCAGGATGGAGGGAGTTCCCAAAATGCCTCATTCTCATCGGGGGCACACCCCAAAATGGAGGAGCTTCCATCCTCTCTAGAGTGGAGGATGGCAATGTCATCCGAGGAGGAGGAGGAGGGACAGGGAGTGCTGAAGGCTGGCTCCAGGAGCAGGGAGCACAGGCAGACGGTGGTGTTGGATGACAGGCGGCGGCACGAAGTTACTGGGAGCTATTCAGAGCTACTGGGAGCTATTGAGCCAGAAAAGGTTGTTGGTGTTAATGACTTCCGACAGGAGGAAGCAAAGGGCTGGGGTTTATCGGCGGCAGGAGGCTCAGCAGGGGCAGTGAGCCCTTCTCGTGGGATGAGCTGAAGGAGCCCAGGTCATCCAAGGGGTTTCTCCCCCAACACTTCACAGCCAGGAGCACCCTAACTCCCATGAGAGCACAGGGAAAATAAATGGGGCAATACAGGAACCATCTTCAGCCTTAACACAGCACACATCCACATGTGTGTATATAGGAATATATCCTACCCACAAATACATCCTATCCAATATATCCTGGCTGTACCTCCGCTCCTCCAAGGCATCCCCAGAACCTAGGGCTGGGGATGCAAATGCAAAATAACAGTGGAGATGCTCCTTCCCCAGCATGTGCAGGATGGTCCAGGGATGGAGGTGAGCACCAGTTACACTCCCACTGCCCTTGGATGGAGATCAGAGCCAACACTGCAGCCTGGGATGGTAATGATACCCCAGGATGATGGAAAGCGAGGCCTCAGATGATGGGAAGAGGGGCCAAGGGGCACAGTGGCAGTGAGGAGAGGATGCAACATGTGGTTCAGGTCTCCTTCCTCCACATCTAACCCGTCACACTTCACACAGTCCCGTTTCCAGCATCCATCACGAAGGGTGCCGGGCTTTTTGCAAGGGGGAAGATGCACAAGAACAAGCGCTGGCTTTGCAGGGCAGCTCAGCCATGAATTTCAGCTTTCCCTGGGAACAAAACCAAATCCCGAACTTACCAGTGCTGGCATTCAACAGCAGGGAGCCAGGCGCTACCAACCATAGCTCTGCCCCCTTCGTGCACTCCACTGGGTCTCATTATCTATTCCCAGCCCCTATCCCACATGGATTTATGCAGGTATCAATCCTAGTGGAGCCAAAACAAAGCCCATAACCCAGACCCGCAGCAAGAAGCCCTGTTCTGGCAGCACTGTGAGTGAAATTGTCTGTGGTGGGGCGTTTGGAACAATGCTGGTCTTTGGAGCGCTGCCGTCATCCGTGTCCCCGCTCCGCTGTGCCGCGGCTGGGTGGTGACAAAGCCACCGCTGCTGGGACATGGGGGCTCTTCCAGCCCTCCTCCCCCAGGCAGCAAACCTACCCTTCTTCTTCTTCATCCCGGGGAATGGGGGGATAAATCCGTGAAAACTGCAGCTGGGCTGAAAACCTCAAGGAAAAATGGTTTGGCTCCTCTGGGATAAGCTCGGGAGGGAACTGCAGAGAGCGGGCACAGATGTCCCAAGACTTGCAGAGAGAGGAGTGGGGTGAATTTCTCCTGCCTTGCTGTCAGTAACAGGGGAGAGCAGAGGAAATCCTGATGGTCATGAAAAGGATGAGGGATGGCAGGAAGGGGATGTCCCAGCCCAAACCACCCACGAAAAGAGGGAAGCTTCCACTATTTTGGCTTCCAAGCCACTGAGGGCATCACTAAAGGCAGCCTTCCCCACCCCAGGATGATGATCCAAACCTGGAGCCACTACTGCAAACGTACCTTCACCTTCTCCATCCAATATTCCTGCATGAACCAAACATCTCAGATCCCCCTGCTGGGACACAGGCCCAGCTACAGTTCCTGCTGCAAACCAACCCTCCCTGCCCCCGCAGGCTCTGCTAAAGCCCTATTGCTGGAAGCTTTGCCACCTTCACAACACAGAAGAAAAGCAAATCTCAGGCACCTGCAGGGACAGAGGGCAAGAACACCCTCCATTCCTTGGGATTTTATCACCCTGGAGATAGCAGTACTGCTCCCAGGAGGAAAAAGCCTGCATTTCCTGAGCACCAGCGCAGGCTGCAGGAGGGCCTCCTCCATGGGGGTTTTTGGAACTTGGGATCTCCGTCCCAACTCTCTTAAACCTCCCTGTAGAAATGAAGGATTTTTAAAGGAGAAAACCAATCAACCAACCATCTGGAAAACCAACCATTTTGGAAGGAAAACCGGACCCTTTTGCCTTCGCATGGCAGCCCCAAATGCCACCAAGGTGGCCGATGTGACAGCCCCGAGCATTGCCGTGGGGCAGAGGCAGCCTCCAGCAGCACGCCCAGTCCCGCTCCCAGGCTCCGCATCCCCATCCAGAGGGAAGCCCAGTGGCCGCGGCTCAGCCGGGTGGGCAAACCTGGGGATGAGGACAAAGGAGGGAACAGCCAGGGACTGCTCCGGCCATCCGAGGTGCCCCCGCTGGCTCCCGGGCCCCGCTCCCCGAGCCCAGCAACATCCTCCCGCGGTGACGCAAGGCCGGCGGAGGAAGCCGGGACGTCACGGGAGGCCTGGGGCGTGGGAAGCGCGTGCACACACATCCCCACGCATCATCCCCACGCACCATCCCCACGCCAGCCTGCCCACGGCAGGGAGGCCTGCCAGGAGGGACGCGCTGTTTTGGGGATGTGGGACCCACGCCGCAGCCCCCTGCAAGGGCTTCTGGAGCGCGGGGCAGTGGGGAGCTGCGTGGATGGGGGGCTGTAAGGTTGGGGGGCTGCGTGGGTGGGTGGGGTGGGGGGCTTCCCCATGGGGCGAACCGCCCCGCTGGGAAAAAACAGCCCTGCAGCCCGGGGTGGCCAAAAAATGACGGGAAAGGAGCGGCGGGAGGGGGTGCGGGGGAGATGTGTGCAGCGCTCGGGGTCCTGCCCAGCCCTGCCCGGGGAAGGGGAGCCCGGCGGGACCTACCTGCTCCTCCTCGGCGCTGAGCTCCGCGGCCATGCTGCGCAGCGGGCCGGGCCGGGCCGAGCCGGGCCGGGATGAGCCGAGCCGGGCCGGTCTAAGCGGCGGGCGCCCCGGCGGAGCCCATCCCCGGCGCTGCGGGCACCGGCCCCTCCCGGCGGCGAAGGCGGCTCCGCCCCGGGGGCCCCGCCGAAAGCGCCGAAAAAATTAAAATAAAATAATTATATATATATTTTATATATATATATATATATATATATGCGTGTATGTCTGAGCACCCCGGGAAGTTTGGCTCGGACCGGGAGCGCCGCTCGGCTGGGCCGGGCCGGGCCGAGCTCCCGCCCCGCTCCGCTCCGCTCTGCCCCGGCGGGGGCGGCGGCAGGAAGCGCCCGCACACCCCGATCCCTCCTCTCCGTCCCCTCCCCGCGGCTCGGCCGGCCCCGGAGGGCGGGCGGGGGACAGGAAAGGCTCTCTGGCGGGGGGGCGAGCGGGGGGCAGCAGCCGGGATGGGGCCGGAGGGGCCCGATCGCCCCCCGCCCCGCTCCGCCCCGGCTCCCCCAGCCCCAGTTCCGGCCGCGGCAGGCGGGAGCGCCGCCGCTAAAATGGTGGCAGCATCCTCCTCTCTCGCTGGTGCTGGATGAAATTCCCGGCACAGCATTTTCCCCTGACGGTATTCCAGCCTCGCGGCCTTCCCCCACGAGCAGCAGTCTGGGATTTCCAGGCGCCTCTTTCCACTCCCTCCTCTGCAATCCGTAAATTGCATTTCCCGGCTGGGCGCAGGTGTCAGTGCCTGGATGGAGAGTCCCGAAGCTCCTCCGGGAAGGAGCGGGGGGATCCCGGGGAGCACAGCAGCGGTCCCACCAAAAAGCCGGGCCCTGGGACAAGGGGACATTTTGTTCAGCCGAGGAGCACAGCGCTGGCAGCGTGCCCGCAGCCGGAGCCTGTGCACCTAACTGGGAGAAAATGGAAGAAGGGCAAAGGGAAGGGGCTGAGCCCCGGCTGGATGAGGGCTCCAGGCTCGTTCTGTCCCCCGGAGACCCAGACCACGTCTCCACGTCGAGCTGCCGGCTCAGCTCTCCTGCCCCAGGCCAAATTTCAGCAGCCGGGGAGAGTGTGGGGGGCGTGATCCCCTCCGCTGGAGCTGCTGCCTGTTCCAGCTGGGAACGGGATCACACCCAGCAAACAGAACAGTCACAGCATCAAACTGCACTGGCCCCGGCGACTTCCGTTTGACACCCTCTCTCCAAACACAGCCTTTGGTTCCCAACAGGAATTGTAATGCAAATATTTATTTCACCAGCCCAGCTCATGCTTTTAAAAGAGAAACTATGAGGCATCATCTGGAGCCAGTGGAGAGCTGCAGTCGCTTCTCTCTTGTTCTCCTCCATCCATCAGAGCACACAGTCCCCATTTGGCTGTATTTCCTCTCCTTCCCCTGGCCGGAGGACCTTGGAAGGCTGCTGGGGGGCAGTAACCTGAGTGCAGCTTTCTCTGCCTTAAGGGATGCACAAATCTTCCATCCAGATGCCCACCTCCGGGTTTAATTGCCTGACGGAAGGAAAACTCTGCTGACAGGAGGCTGGGTGCAGTCTCCTGTTCAGCACTCTCCCTGCAGATCTCTGCCAACCAGAGAGGCTGAAGGTGGGAACCTTTGAGGGATGGGGGGATAAGGCAGTCCAGGTGTCTGTCATCTTTCCCCGAGCCAGCTGCTTCACATGCTAAAAAAATAACACTGAACATTATAAAATAAGCAGCTGTTTGAAAGAGACAGCTCCAAACACTGCAGAGCCAAGGATGCCGCTTCCCTCCCGGGGAAGCCCCCCTGCATCCAGGACAGTTCCTGCTGCCCGCTGGTGTAATCAATAGTGGCTGCACAGCCAGATGGTTGCACGCAGCCCACATGCTTGGCACAGAATCAGCCTTTTTCTGGGAAAAAGCAGGGGTGTGAGGGCAGGATACAAGTGTCCCCACTATCTGCGGGTGGTCATCCCCACTCTCTCTATCTCCTCCAGGGGCATTTCCCTAGTGAGCTGCCTTTAGCCTGATGTTTCATCTCCCCTTTTAATCTCCCTCTGGAAACCAACCTGGCGACAGTGAGAACAATCATTTCATCCTCTTAAAGCCAGGGAGAAGGAGCAGCCAGTGCTTAAAAAAAGTGGGATTGGGCTGGGGTGAGAGGGACAGAAGGGATCAAATTAACTCAGAGTGCAGAGAATCAAACCCACGTAAGCGTTTCCTCTGCTCCAGTCAGCGCTGGAACTGATTTTTTCAATCCCTATTTGGGAGGCACAGCACGCATCCACCCTTAGGTAGCAGGAAGACGCTCAAGAATTTGTCTTTCTGAGAAACCTTTTATTTGGCACGATCAATGGTAGTGTTTTTCAGAGCGAAGCCATTCCTTCCTCCCCCCACTGAGAAAAGCCTTGAGGAGAGAGAGGCTTCTGCTGCACTCACTCTGCACAAAGCCGTGCTCCAAGGCAGGACCTGCTGCAATGCAAGGAAAATTTAGATTGTCCTAAGAACATGTGGGTGTGCAAAGTCCACCCTTTGGATTTACAGAAGCTCACTGCCAACTTTTTGTTAGTAAGAAGCAGACTGACCCCAAAACTTTCATTGCGAAGGCCTCAGAAAACAGCTGGATCAAAGGCCGAGAAGCCCCCATTTCTGGGGTCAGGAAGGTGGGGCTGCTACTTGGGGTCATGAGCAGCAGCTGCACCTCAGAGGTCCGAGCACTTGTTCCTATGCTGGAGCTTTGCCAGAGCTTCAGGAGAAGCAGGGTCAGGAGCTGAACTGTATCCCTGCAGCACGTCCCAACGCATGACTGCCTTAGCAGAGAACCAGACAATCCTGTTAAGGACTCACAGAAGCCTTGGCAAAAAAAAAAAATTAAAAAAAAAATAAAAACAAAACCAAAAACCAGCCCTTGGGGCAAGATATTCCACTGTCATGCCCTTGAAACAAAGCTATCCTATCATCATTACTTTGCCCCCTCTCAGGAGCATGAAGGACAGTGAGAAGAAGGGAGCCTTTTCCCTGCTCCCTCTCCAGCTGGCCTGTCCCAGCATCTTAACTCTCCATTTGGCTCACTGCTCCCTCCTGGCCCTCCAGAGACTTTTCTGGCTGAGGGGTAGACAAGTGTTCCAGCTCGTAATGTCCGTTCTTCGCGGCCACCACGCTGCTCGGGTCGCCCTTTTCCACCGCCAGCTTTTTACTCCTTTTGCTCTCGATGATCTGCTGGAGCTGCCGCCCGGCGTAGTTCGGTTTGGCCGTGAGCGCGGTGGAGGGCACGGTGAGCCCCAGGATTTCAGGCACCATGTAGGGCCGGAGCCAGCCCACCAGCGGGGTGCTGCCGGGGGTGTAGTGGGTTTGCCTGTGATAGAAGAGCAGCCCGTCAACCTGCGGACAGGAGAGAGTGAATGAAAGGGCAGAGCTGAGGCTGCCGCAGGTGGATGACCGGGCGCCAGACGACAGCTCTGCTCTCCATTTGCAGGCCAAAACCAACAGCTGGATCATTTTTCCCCAAGCAGTGCAATAAATAGCGGAAGGGAAAGAAGAGACCTGCAGAGCTCCTGCCCTGAAAGATCAGCGACTCCCAGGTGGCTTTAAATTGTCAAAGGCAAACAATTCCAGCCCGCTGTCGGCACAGAGCAGCATCCTCTGGATGCTCTCATCCCACTCTGCAGAAAAGCCAGCAGGTTTCTGAATAAGGCAGCCCACTTTACTGGATTAGGGTTATTTTAAATAATACATTTGGAAAGTAATTAGTCCAAGTGCACGATGCCAAGGAGCCCCAATTCCTAACAGCTCTTTTAACTGGTGTATGCCAATAAAATTCTTAATGTTTCCCAGGAGAGAACTTCTCCAGCAATCAATGACAGTTAAGGGCACTCAGGACTTTGAAGATTTAGGCTTAACTCTTGTGCTACTATTTCCACACTCTGCAGTGCTGCAGCTGTCTGACATTTTCCCCACTTTCCTGCCATGCTCAGGGATTCTCATTCCCCCTCTTCCTGTGCTTCCCAGGGTGTGCTCTGTGAGGCTGGATCTTACTGTCAGGCTGACTAACGCTGAAGGTGGTGCTCCTCTTAGCTCAGCTTCACAATCTCTTAAAAAGCCATTTGGTTATGAAGAAGAGTGGCTGAGTGGGCAGAAGAGAGGAGAACAAAAGCCCATCTTGGGATGAATCGCTCTGAGGCTCCTCCCCAAGCCTACAGCCCCCAGAACAGACA